ATGGAGAAAAGATTAAAGTTGTCAAGGATTTCATTTTATTTGGATCCACAATCAACACCCAAAGAAGCAGCACTCAAGAAATCAGACGTATTTTGTTGGGCAAATCTGCTGCAAAAGACCTCTTTAAAGTGTTAAAAAGCAAAGATGTCACCTTCAGGACTAAGGTGCGCCTGACCCAAGCCATGGTTTTTTCAATTGCTTCATATGCATGCGGAAGCTGAACAATGAATAAGGAAAACCAAAGAAGAACTGATGCACTTCAATTATGGTGTTGGCGAAGAACGTTGAATATACCCTGGACTGCTAGAACAATGAAGAAATCTGTCTTGGAAGAAGTACAGTCAGAATGCTCCTTAGAAACGAGGATGGTGAGATTTTTTTTCTTACTGACTTTGGACATGTTACCAGTAGGGTTCAGTCCCTGGAGAAGGACATAATTCTTGGTAAAGTAGAGGATCAGCAAAAATGAGGAAGAGAGCCTCAATGAGATGGATTCACACACACAGTGTCTGCAACAATGGTCTCAAATCTAGCAACGATTGTGAGGATGGCATAGGACCGGGCAGCGTTTTACTTTGTTGTACCTAGGGTTGCTGTGAGTCAGAACCGACTCAGTGGCACCTAACAACAACAACAACACGACACTAAGGAGACACAGGTAAAATAAACCCCAAATCAAATCCGTTGCCGGTGTGTCGACTTGGGTTAACAACAACAGGAAACTAAGGAAACACAGGTAGAACAGGCGTTCTCTTTTTCTTTAAGGAGCTTTGGGTTTTAGGGCATGGAAGAAATAAATTTTTATACAAAAATAATCATAAAGAGTTCCATATCTTCAGTCATGGGTATAGCCCAAGAATTGATCATGGTTAAATTAATTCCCCCCAAATAAATACTTATGTCTAATCTGTGCAGTTCCATGCTTTCCAGACTCAAAGCCTAACTAGCACCCACCAGTGGTAGAAATCTTACTCAGAAGTTAAGAAAATTGGGTTTTTAGTGATGGTGTTTTGCCTTAGAGTCGATTTCGACTCATAGTGATCCTATATGACAGAGTAAACACCCCCCATAGGGTTTCCTAGGCTGTAATCTTTATGGGAGCAGATCACCAGGTTTTTTTCTCCCATGGTGTGGTTGGTGGGTTCAAACTGCCAACCTTCTGGTTGGCACCCGATCACTTAACCACCATACCACCCAGGCTCCTCTTGAGTGTTAAATCCTCCAAACTGCTAAGTACCATTCTAGTCCTATAAAGCCTGACACAAACCTAGGCCTGCCCTCACCATCTACCTTCCCAATCAGGTTTTCAGAAGGCTTTACAACTCTTTTGGAATAAAAGGGTAATTTTATTGTGGGCAACATATTGGAGTTCTAACTAGGGGTCGTTAAATAGGAGGAAGATGCACAGAGCCATTAATCAAAACATTTACCACCCAAAAACTACCCATAATGAGAACTATTCGGGGCATTTTCCTTCCAAATAACTCAAAACAAGGCTGCCAAAATGCTACAAAACTCTGATGGGATGTCCATTACAGATCTGTGTTACTGCGCTCCACTTGGCCACCCCCGGCTGATAAAATCACAGTGCCAAGTGGGACTGGAAAAGAAATAGGTGTAGATGCAGCTGGGATAATGAAGTCACAAACACAAGGCCAGCATGAAGTTGATATGTGAACTTGTGAACTTTCCACCATCCCAGACATAGAAAGGAGCTTGTAAGAATGGCATCCCAGCCAAAGCGGACGTCTGTTCTGGGCTAAAGGGAGTGAAAAGGGGACAAAGTCTGGCAGGGGAAAACCAAATAATAAACCAGCACAATGCCAGCGCCCCCAGCCCAGGCCTTTTATTCCCTCTCCAGATGGTCCAGCAGCTGAACAGCTACGTGGAATGTCTGGACGCCCCTCTCAGCTCAGCAGCTTTTCCTGCAAAGGCATCATAATAGATGCTTTGGAACCTGTGTTCAGACATAGCTGTTGGGGGTCCACAGACCAGGCAGTGACCACCAAGCGACTAATTTAGTTATTTATAACTGAAGTGATGAAAATGAACAAACCCTGCTTTGGCAAAGCTTTTTATTCATGCCTTTAGCTTTCACCATTAGGCAAGTCACTGTCTAATAATGCCAATGATCAAATAAAGATGTTTCTTTTTCTTCTCTTTTCTGCAAATGTTAATCTGCTGCAAACATTTCCTGGCTTACTGTTTTGGACTAATTTCAATAAAAAGGAGATAGTGACAAGAACAAATTAAATTCTAGCAAAAGCTTAACAGAAAAACAATAGTTTCCATTTACATGTTTATATATGAGAATACTTCTGCCAGAAACACCTGTTCTTCAGCAAACTGATTACTGTCAAATAGCCTCCTCTCTGCTCAGACAGCACATCACTTTTAACTGGATGCCAAAAGAACAACAGTATTACCATAAATAAAATCTTGGTATAACAACAAAACACAAAAGCAAAAATGTCACTGCACAGGGAAAAAGTCGTATTAAATAAATTTGAAAGAAAAAGACAACCTTTGCTAACTACATTATAAAATTTAATTTAACAAAGGGTCTCCTACTAGCGTTTATTCTAAAGCACAAATAACCTTCGTATTTTAATGCCCTGACTGACGTAGCAAAGCTATACTTTTGTTAAGCCTAAAAATCAGGTGGTTAACCCAAACAAACAGTTAATTCAGGGTAGCTGAAGGAATAACACCATTAGCTTTGCAGAATCTAGATTCAATAACCTGTAATCAGATACTAAGTAAAATCACAAAACAGAAAACAGAGTTCGATGTTATGTTACTTTCTCTAAAACATAATGCTTATTAACAACTTTCACTTCTAGAACCATATTTACTCAATTTAGGATGCCTGCAGCTTTGAGTACAAGGTATGAGTGAAGAGCTTCTCCTTTGTATCTATAAACAATATTTTCACAACTTTATTTGTTAAATGAGCATTAATGTATAGATGCTTTGGAATTCTTTTCCATCCCCAAACCTGAATGAATGGTTAACTGCCATGTAAATTACAATAAAGAATCGGCTTAACAAAGTTTCTCACTTGCATAATCCCATAATCTTTTTAAAGTTCTATTTTATTTGTAAATAGTATAAAGATATCTTTTTGCAAGCTGCAGTCTCTCCACAAGCCCCTGCCCAACGGATGCAAGTTCAATAGCCAGAATTCAAAGCACATAATTTATCGGCTTACAAATCAATTGGGATCTATAAAAACAAACCTTCGGAAAAGGCTTTAGGCTGTTCGAATCCCTCTAAAATATTCTGGCTAAATTTACCCTTTATCAATGTAAGACTGATAAAATATATTTTCGTTATCAACATAAAATGGAAGCATCAAGATTGGTGAAATGTTAGTTTTGAAAGTCATTTGCAGTGACATTTAAAACAATTTATTTGAACAACACTGACTCATGATAAGAATACTGCCTATTAAATTAAGACTGGCTGATTTAGAATTCATTGGAGGCCTATTCTCCCCCTCTGTGGGAGTTAACATCTTTTGATATTAAGGGTCAATACATATCTAAAATGGAAAAAAAAAAAAAGAAAGAAAGAAAGAAAAAAGAAACCCACACATTCTGAGCAAGTGCCTGATCCTTGACATTTTAATGCAAAGACTGGGCCTATGATGGCTTCCTCAGCATTGGCTCCTGTGAAGCCTTTTCCTGTGTTGGCAAATATCTTTGCTGATGTCCAGCCCATTGTGGAATATCCGTAAGTCCTACCCTTTATCTACAATGCTGTTCAGAATGCTTCCCTCTAAAGAATCACCAGGGAACAGGTGAAAAAAAACAAACCTGCAAACTAACTCCCCAGCAGTTCACTTCACCTCCCTAAGGACACTGGCAACAGCTGAAGAGATCACAACAAACTCGTTTTTCAGCCAGCCTGTAATGTTAGTCTTACATGCAGCCTGGAATTTTCACAGTCCCCTTCAACTCCAGAGCAAGACCTACCAATATTCCAGGTCAGCCACCAATATGCTCTCCCTTAGAGAAGACTTAAAATTAAGCTGACACATAAAAAACGTATTTCCTTGCAGATGTCAAGCATTAGGAAACATGTAAACAGCTATAATTTTATGTTAAAGAATTTAAGGCAACCCTATTGAAAAATCATTAATGGTCCCAGGAATTTGACCCACTTGTCACAACGGACTTTATCAGGATTCTCATCCTAAAAAGCTACCACGTCAGTCACAAAAGACAATCATGCAATGTTTTGATTGAATAAATTCAGGAGTTCAGCCCAGGAGTTAATAAATTCAGCCCATCTCAGGAATTCCTCAACATAGGGAGAGGATTTTTCATTGCTGGATGAAAAAAGCAGACGATCGCGTAATAGTAGCTAAGTTCTCTAGAGACTGGGTACACGGTAGGGCAATCTTTCCACCTCCCATTTTATCCGAACCTTAACCGGGTTTGTTAAGGCGGAGGCCAGGAATAAGTCTTTTTCTAGCTCTTGCCTCCCCCACCTACCGTCCCCCCTACCCCCACCC